CCCTTGTGACGTCACACCGCCTGGCAAAGTTTAGGCCACGCCTCGCTTGGCACAATTAAATTCGGCATGCGGCAATCGCGAGCGTGTGTGCGGTTGCCTACTTCCTTCCTTGTGCTGTGGCAGAGGGCAAGTAATTTGCAGTTAAGGCCGGTATACAAACAGGGTCTGCAAAGTGGAGGAAGGATAGTGTTGGAGTAAAAACTTAATAGTCGGATGCATGACTTGGCCATGTATGATTCAAGTTTTCTCGGTGATGAATAAATACACAGAGATGCAAAAAAAACGCAACGGAAAAATTGTTGGTCTAGTTTAAAATGTTATATATTTAATTTTAATCCTATTTCCTTAATTTTTTTTAGCAATCTGTATATAAATATATCAACTTTAAGTCGTAAACTCAGTTTAATATAAACTTTAGTAGTTGAATTATTATACAGTGTGTCAATTTTAAAACTTTCCACCCTTAATATCTTTCTTAAAGTTCTTGCAGTTAAAAATATGAACAATCGGAAAGACACGTCAATTTTATTTGTAAGGGGAACACTTTAAATTAATATTTTTAGTCTTTTTCTTTTAGGCCCCTAGGAGGGGTAGATGTCACCCTTACAATCTTAAATGGCAATGGGGGTCAAGTGGCACATCCTTTTAAAAGGCGTTTAATTCTCTTTTTAGTGGTATCGTACTTTGTTGCTTTTTGTCCAGAGGTTTCCGAATAATCGCGTTTCAAAGTTGCAGAAACAATTAAACATGGTTTAATTGTTTCTGCAATTAAACGATTTTTGTTTTCAGGCTAGTGTTTACATAAAAATGATTGCAATGGATCTCCTTGTAGTACAAATGATTAGAAGATTAGGTGGCAACATGGACGTAGCCATTACATTTTTCTAGGGGGGTCAAAATACTAATAAACAGAAAATAGCAAAAACATTAACATTTCTTTTCTCAAATTTGAATGAGTGACAACCTCTAATCAGTTTTTCGTAAGGATTTGTTAACATTCCAGCAGGATGGTGCTCCACATCATTATTTTCTTCCTGCCCGACAGTGGTTAAACGAGAGACTTCCGGGTACATGGATTGGCAGAAGGGGACCAGTTGAATGGCCTCCAAGATCACCGGATTTAATACCCTTAGACTTCTTTCTTTAGGGACATCTTAAATCCATTGTTAAAAAACACAACCTACTGATATTGATAATTTTAGCAGAGTGCATTATTTTTTGGTCAGAACCATGTCTCCTGAATATTTGTTTTTTTGACTAATGTCAACACATGCATTGGTTAATTTGCAAGAGCAAAATGAACTTGCCACAAATATTTTGCAATTTTTTCAATTATCGTTACTTTTTGATACCATTCTTCATAATGACGATGTGGCTTTGGTGAATTGTGTACAATTGAATATGGTTCTTATTGTCGAAGATTGTGCAAGTCATTGGTCTTGTTAAGATGGCCGAAATTATGAATATTTGTTTGTTCTTTGAAGAAGAATGGGAAAACATAACACAATATATTTGCAGCCTCATTAACTGTACGAACCGACGGCGACGTCTACACTACAGATTTGTTTGTACACTTAGTTATTACATTTATTTTTTAATATCCTTAGTTTTGTTAGTGTTAATAATATTTATTAAAATCAAACCTGTATCTTTACTTTTTAATGTTTTTAAATTTTAATATATCTAGAGTTCTAATCAGTGTCGATATGACATTATGACAATAGTCACCAAAGTCACCTAGTGATATTAAAAATAACATCAAAAAAGTAAGGATAGTTGAAAAAATTGCAAATTGTTGGTGGCAAGTTGATTTCGCTCTTAAAAATTTACCAAGGATGTGTTGACATGAGTTAAAAAAGAAAATGTTCGGCAGACATGGTTTCGATCGAAAAATAATGTTTTAAAGTAACTCACGAAATTATTGCACAGGGCGTTTTAAAGTAAGGAAAAAAGTATCCCTTCAATTAACCATTTATAGTAAACCAAATGCCAAAGTTGATAAAAAACTGAGTTTATGAATTAAAGTTGATAGCTTTATACACAGATTGCTGAAAAATTCATGAAAATAGGGCTAAAAGCTATGGCTAAAAGTGACAAAAATATAACACTTTAAACTTGATGAAAAAAAATTTCGTTGCGTTTTTTTTGCGTCTGAGTGTATTTGGAGATTTATTACAATTTTTTTGATAGAGTTAATAGAGCGAAAAATGATATTTTTTTCTTTTACTTCTTCTGTTAATGCTGAAATTTCCCTTAGAATATATTACACTCTCTTGAGATACGTTAGGTAATTATATTTTAGTGTTACCTATTATATTTAATTAGTTTAAAAGCAACAGAGTATTTATCAATGTTAATATTACTTTACATATGGTTATATCTTTATTCTAGATCAATATTAACTTAACCTATGACTAGCCAAGAGAAACATAATAACAGTTTCACAAATTAATTTCCGCAGTCACCACTATTACCTTAATATACACATTTGCGTTTGCCAATCAAATTGAGTAAGATAAATACCATATATGTGTTAGTGTTTGTTATTAAACTGACCAATGTCAATTGGTTATACTGGATTGGTTATAGCGTTGAAGCCCAATTTATACCATGTGCAATAAGAATTAGCAATAATTTTTGATATTGATTTTAAATTTCATCAAGATGGCTAAAAATTGCTTTACTTAATGTAAAAATAAAAATAAAACATATTTTCAAGTAAACTTTTTCAAAATTCTACCAACAAACAGGTTCTTCAGGCATTTATTTTTTTAAATGTAAAATCACTGATAAATAATAGTAATGAATGCAACTGCGTAAATTTCATTATGTCTTATACATACAGGGTACGGCAATAGTGCGTCGGGCATCTGTAGCTCCTAGAATAAAAACATTGAATATTTTGTTGTTTAAGTGCAAATCTAAAGTATGTACAAGGATGTATTTCAGAAAAATATTTTAACATTTATAGGGTGGCCTAAAAAAGTGTGAGTGGATCGAGATGATTTTTTTTAAATGGAACACCGTGTATGTTATTGCATTTTGGCTTCTTTTCAGATCACTTTACATAATCCTAAGATATAAGTAAATAGATTTCGATAGTTTCAATGATATTAATAAATAAATCAAAAATATATATTGTTCAGCCTTCCTCAAAAGAATTATTAAAAATACAAGAGCTGTCCTGAAATCAAAACTATATTAGATATTTACTTTAGTTGGTATGTACTTACTTTGCTATAAATATTGTAATTCTAAATTATACAGGATGTTCAAAATTCTACGCCAAACTTTTCAAAATATAAAATAATTTTTATTCGTTTTTTTTAAATAGCACCGTTTTTTTATAAACACCCTGTATATTATTTTTCAGTAGATGGAGAATTCAAAATTGAACATTTTTTGCATTTAAAGTATCTCAAAATTTTTGACCGTTTCGCATATATTCGCTGTTTTATACTTATTTCATATGACATTTTCCACGGTAAATTTTTATCAAAGCCACCCAATGATTGCTCTCATATTTTACCGTTGAAAGAGCCATATGAAATAATACTGGGTGTATCTGTAAATTCATGGTTATGAATAATTTTGAAATACTTTCAATAAAAAAATAATATACCATTTAAAAAGACAAAGAAAATTTATTTTATATTTTAGAAGGTTTGGTGTAGAATTTTGAACACATTGTATGATTTAAGATTACGATATTTATAGCAAAGTAAGTATAGACCATCTAAAGTAAATATCCATTATAGTTTAGATTTCAGAATAATTTTTTTTAAGAACGACTGAAAAATAAATATTTTTTTTAAATTAAAATTCTACATATACAAATTAATAAAAATAAACATAATTTAACTTACTCCCAACTAACATAACTAAAAATTTTATCCTACAAAATTAAATATCTACATATACAAATTAAAATAATCATAATTCTTAACTAACATGACTAATACAAAAATAAAAAAAATGTATCCCTCAAAATACATTTGACTAATGTTTAAGTAAGTTTCTTTGAATTGTGCATTGAGGTATGATGTGATTATTGCCTTGTTTGATTTTTCTGTCAATTTCTGTCAATTCCCCTCACCTTATGATTTTAGTTTAGTTGTTTTAATTTTCAAATTGAGCTTACCATATTGTTATCTGTCATTGAACAATTATTGTGATAGAAATAACCTTTTAACCTTAAAAAAAATAACTTTTTTAATTTGTTTTGTGATCGTATTTTATAATTTTGACCTCTGTTTGATTATTGGAATTTCCTATTATTCTGATTGTAATTGTTTCAGCTTTCTGGGTCTGATGATGGGAATTGTTTAAGTCCCGAAACATGTCGCCCCCCTTGCTTTTTTTGAAGCATTTAAATTTAAATAAACATCTTAAAGATTGTGAGTTATTTGTCCCCTTACCCGCCTTCAGAGGTTTTACTTTGATAAATATTTTTTATTTATTTATTAATATCTCAGAAACTATCAAATTATATTTATTTATATCTTAGGATTATGTAAAGTGATTTAAAAGGAAGCCAAAAGTGCAATAATATACAGGGTGTTCCATTTAAAAAAGATAATTTCGATCCACTTACACTTTTTTGAACCACCCTATAGAAGAAAATATTTTCCTGAAATACATCCTAGTACGTACTTTAGGTTTACACTTACACAAAATTCCCAAGTTTTTTATTCTAGGAGCTACAGATGCCCGATACACTATTGCCGGACCCTGTATATTTTTAATATATTTTCAATCAAAAACTAGTGCCAATGTAAAATGTTACCTAAATCTCTAAATAAAAAACACGATGCGGACTTTATCTGTGTATAAAGAAGCTAGAGAAACAAAAAATAAGGCTAGGAATTTTTGGGATTCCTTCCCTAAGGGTGTTCTTCATTGAAGACGACCACCGAAAAAACCCTCGAAACATTCCCTTCGCATTCTTTGCCGTTATTTCCTTCAATTATCCCCTAATAGACGTAAAAAAACACCCTTACCTTTTAGGTTGGGCGTTGGATCTACGACGTTCTCGCAGGTATTTCCGGCAAAAAGTTTCGTGCAGTGACACTTCACAGCCGCGACGCCGAAGCTGGTTGAATTTTAATACCGCGCATATTTTTATAAAATACGTTTCTGATGGACTAGTTTAAGCCAATTAATTGTTAAAAATATCTTTCATACACAGTTGTACTTAGATATTTATGTCTGTTAGTTAGTTCAGCATAATAATACATATGATTGTTCAGCGTAACATCTGATTCTTCAGAACGTCACTGGACTTTTAGCATAGAATCTGACTCTTTTCATAAAACCTAACATTTCAGAACAATATCTGGCTTTTACGAACAACGACGGACTTTTCTTCATGAAGTATAAAGTTCGACACTTCAGCATACTGTGTACGATTCTTCAACACAACATCTAACTTTTTAGAACATTGCCGTACATTTGAGCATAAAATCTGACAGTTCAGCATAATACCTGGCACTTTAGAACAACGTTGGACTTTTCAGCATCAAGTTCTCTTTCGCAGGTATTCCGGCTCTTCACTATAATGTCTGATACTTTAATGCAATGAACCTTACTCTTTAATATAAAACCTGACCCTACCATAATGCATGACTCTTCAGCATAAAATTTGAATCTTTACTATAATCGAAGACACTTCAGCATATTTTATGAATCTTCAGAATAACCATCTGACTCATAATAATAATACATAAATCTTTACGCATGACTCTTAAGGATAAAGTATGACTTTTCAGCATATTGTATGACTTCAGAAAATATCCGGACTATTCAGCATAAAGTCTGACTCTTCATAATAAATTCTGACTCTTCACTATAATTTATGACACTTCAGCATATTGTAAACTCTTCAGCAAAAAGTTCAAGTTAAAGAGAATAAAAACTGACTTTTCACAATGTCAGACTTTTTAGCATTTCAGCAATAATGCATAAATCTTATTTGCTATAACGCATGAGTCTTAAAAATAAAGTCTGATTTTTCAGCATAAAGTATGGTTCTTTATGATTCTTCAGCATAACATCTGACTTTTCAGAAAAAAGTCGTACTTTTCAGCATAAAGTCTTACTCTTCAGTATAATATATTACTAATCATAATGACTGACTCTTTAGCACAACGTCTTTAGAAGGAAGTTTAAATGTTCAGCATGTGACTGTGACATGTCTCATCAACACAATGTTTGATTCTTCAGCTCAGTATGTTGCACAGTACTGCAGTCTCATTATTAATCCTATAATTAAATAATTATTTTCCGGACCTACCACGTGCTTAATATTTTAAAAGATTTTTTCATAATATATTTTCCTGATTTGTCAGTTACTTTCTATCTGTATATTTTAATTTAAAAGTTTTATTATATTGTATTTGTCATATTATATAATAATGCACGGTTGCATGCATAATGAGAGCAAAACTAAAAAAGGGGTCTCATGGTCATATAAATTATGATAGACTCAGTTTATACAGGGTGTCCCAGAAATAAGTGCAAATATTTTAACTGGTAGTATAATTCAACCCCAGAAACACGCCTATGGAGTTTTTTTCGCGAAAAAAAAATTTTGAAAATTCGAAATTTTTTGAAAATTTTTTTGGATTTTTTTTAGTTTTTAGTTAAAAAACATAATTTCTTGATAATATGGCAACATAGATATTATATTAAATTTACAAGAAAGAAAATCCAGTAAAGATCCAGTGGTTCTCAATATTTTAGCAAAAAATCATTTTTTTTAAATTTTCAAAGTAAAATAACTCCGTTATTTTGGACTTATTTGAGAAACGATAAAGAGAAAATATGTTTCTTTTATCGAGATCTACCACCCCTTAAAATATTTGCACTTATTTCTGGGACACCCTGTATATCGTCCCATTGCTGCCAAAAGTCACTAACTTACTTTTTATTACTTCCGAGAAAAATGCGTCTAAAGATGAATTGCATTGCATAAAGATGTTATAGTAACTATTCGGTATTAAAATAAAACATAAATAGCCAGAAATCGTAGTTAATGACTTTTGCAATCGATTCTCCGCTTCAAAACATAGTTAGTGATTGAATTTGGTTGTTCGGAAAAATGTTAGTTAGTGACTTTTGGCAGTAATGGGACGATATTTTTTACTTCTTTTGATTTTGTGTGGATATATTTCAATAAAAAATATATCTTTTTAAAACTATTTTTAGCGGCATAATTAGGTTTAAAAATATTATTAAACACTTCAAAATCTTGAAATAATATAATACTAACAAATAAATACTTACAAACAAGTGCCGCCATTTTTACAAGTCGGTGTTCCATTCGTATAACAAAAAGATTTTGGTCCTTCTGAACAGTTTGACCCTGTATACCCATTAAAGCAGCTACAGCTGAATTTTCTGCAATAAAAGAAGAACGTAGCGTTATTCGAAAGCATTTCTCGTTTATTTTCTTTTTTCAAATCGTTTACGATTGATATAGGTATTTTATATTTTTCTCAGAACACAAATTAGAAAATTATTTCTATTCAAGCAATTTTGCAATATTACTTTTATAAGAGACGGTAAAATACTTCTCTAAATTAGGTTTCTAAAAGAAATATGAAAGCAGCTTTATTTGAATAGTATAAGAAAAAATATGAAATATATTTTGTATGTTTTCAAAGAGTAACAAAAGTTGACTCAATAAATTTAATTTATTTTCCTAAAATTGAAAAAAATTATTGGCTTCTCTGTTCATAGTCTAGTAGTTTGATAGACATTACGGAAAATGGCGGATTTCCAAATTAACTGATTTAAAAATTAATTTTCCGTATAATTTTTGCTTCTATGAATTTTTCTGATGTTTTAATAGTTATTGTGCTATTCGAGGCGGAAACAAATCCAACAAATCAGAGATCAGTAATATCCGAGAAGAGATCACTGGGGTATTTTAGTGTACAGGGTGAGTCAGCGATAGAGTAAAGTTAACATTATCTCGTTTGTTTCAAGGTTTATAAAAAAATGTTAAATATAAAAGTTATGGAGAAGGTTAAGATACAAATTTTAAAATTATTATAGAGTATACAATCTATGTGGTAAAGTTTCATCCCCACGCTGGACTGCGTCGTTCATAGACGCATACATATAAATCCAGCAAAAGGATGACTTATGTCACATACCGATCCTATCCATCATAGGTAGCAGTGGTGGAACTATATTTCAAACTATCGACACAAGAATATATTCAACAGTAAAATACTCCATTCTGTGCGATTATGAGAAATATGGAAGCCATATATCTCTTGGCGATGTAGCGCCAACATCATACGGTCGCGTTGGTTCTGCGTTGCAGTCCTGAAATTTTAATATGCCATAACTTAGTTCTCTATCGCAAGACTGTTGTTATAAAAGTTCCCCATGAAATTGATTTCGGAGATTGCATCTTTTTCATCTTAATTTTTGCGTAAAATATCGGAGTTTCAAATTTTGCAGCAATAATATCAGAACATAAACTAGCAAGTTTTCTATACTTTTAGTTTGGAATATGGGTCATAATTTCAGTGTTTCAAAGTTCATAAATTTTCTTTTCAAATACTGTATATTTAACGGGTCAATATACAGTGTGTGCAAAGAAAACCATGTCACAATGGGCGAGGATATAACATTTACCTAAAAATAAACATTTCTAAAAAGCTTTTATTAAAATATGTTTTCTTATGAAGTCCATCTGATGAGCCAGAGAAAATTTAGACAGATGACACATCGAAGAAATGACAGATAATTCAATTTTCCTGTGAATTAAAATGACAGACGATAACTGTCACTGTTAGGCGGTACAGTCTCATTGAACTTTACATATATACCTAATTATCTTGAACATTTCTGAGAAATTTTTACTTAAAATATTTTTTTTCCTTTTATCCAGGGTGATTCTTAAATAAGTGCAAATATTTTTAGGGATGGTATATCAACTCTAGGTCTATGATTTTTTTTCGCAAAAAAATATGTTGAAAATCGTGCATTTTCTTTTAAATTTTCCTTTATAATTTAGAATATTTTTATATTCACCGCAAATTTTCCCACGGTATAATTTTTTAACATCTGATATTACCATGTTTACGTATTTACTCTATGATTACGACATTAAAAGGGATGCAAATATAAGAAAAATCTGGTGGCTTTAATTTTTTTTAAATAATAGTATACCGGGTGCGTCTCAAAAGTGGCTCACCCCTATAACTTTTTTATTTTTTACGTTTGGTTGAGAAACTATGGTTACGTTCGTTAAATTTGACACTTTAAGTCAGTTTAATAATAGATTTTTGTACTATTCACAAAACATCCCCTTTAAAACTTTTTATTTAATGGCCATAAGCGGGAGTAAAAGACCAACCGCCCGAACAAACACTAGAGGCGCCACCGGTCATCAAGTGGTGTAAAAATTGCGAAAATTTAATCATCTAATTTTAAGGGGTCGCGCTTAACTTTTTCAGTTTTAATTCAATATGTAAAACTTGGAAAATAAGTTCGTTATAATAATGCTTTATTATTCACTATTCTAATAAAGAATATGCATTCCTTCGGAAACTCTCTATTTATTTATTTAGTAATGCTAAAACACTCTATTTTAAAAGCCGATTAGAGACAATAGTATGATTCATTGGCAAGCAAAGTAAATATTTGTGAGCAGGTAAAAATGTGATGTAAGAGGAGGCTTAGCTTGCCGGCGCGCGGCAGGTCAGTCAGTAGTAGACGGGACGACCGGGTGTAAAGTAGTGTTGTGTTGTGTTTTGTCACAGAGCTAACATTTGGAGGTTGCGAGTCTTATGACTAAGGTTGCGAGTCTTTTTGGCTATAAGGATGCGAGTCTTTTGACTATAAACGTTGAATGTACTGTAAGGCAACGGATCGTTAGCCCATGAGAAGAAAACCTCTTGTGATGTCTTGCCTTCGAGGTTGGTATTGAGAGTTTGAGGTCTCCCTTGTCTTCTCGATTGACACGATGCGGCGTTGGGGTAGTGAGGTACCCCAATTAGCCTATTCGATTGAGATGCGAATCTGTTTAGCGGCAGATTTGCGTCCGGAGGAAGCCGCTATACTATTTCAGGTGACACTAGCTAGTTGTTGAAGATTATTAACCAATAGATCAATAGATCCGAATAATATTTGAAATAGATGGAAGATATGAAATGGGATATATTGAATAGAATGTCAGTGGCTAGGGAGAGGAGTACCTCCGGGTGAGTCTTACTATTTAACTATCAATTTTATCCAGGTCAGTAAATGTTTGTTTTGTTACTTTCATGTACAATTAGAGAGTGCTTGCCAATGACCAACTAAATGGATATTTGAGGTGAATTTGCATTGTGAGACCCGGTTGAGTAAGCCCCAGAAAAAAGATATTTTACAAATATTCATTGTTTGTTGTATTTTGTGAATGTATAAATGTTTTCTTAGTATAAAGTTGCATTATAGTAATTTATTTTTAATTTATTTTGTTTTTTTGCCGTTTAAAATGTAATCTTGATAAAAAGTTAGTTAGTTATTGTCAAAAGTAGTTAAAATCATGTTAAAATATTAAAATTTACAAGTTATAATGAGATATTTTATATTATTTCAACAACAAACACATAATAGTACAGCGTAATGTTGATATTATGCAGGTCCAAAACAAAAAGTGCCGTTATATTTTTCAGTTTTCGTTGTCAGCCGCAGAAGTATCAGTGACTTTAATATTGTCGGATATTTTTATTTGTGAAATAGAAATATTGCGTTTGGATTGCAAAACTAAAAGTGGAAGTTTTATTGCAATGTAAGTAAGCGTTTGTCCATTTTATTTTTTTCTTTTTTCATACCTACGACAAATATACATATATTGCAATTTGATAATTCGTTTTATTTAAAAAATGTTAGAAAACAAGCTTGTAATACTGTAATTGACATAATTGTTATTCCATTTAAATGTAATATATTATTTTTCAATTAAAAAAATGTAAATTTGAAAAATATATTAAAAATATATACAGACATTAATTGAATTTTTTTGAGTGCAAACAAACACGAAAGGCGCTTTATTATTTACTTTCATTTCTTAACATGACAGATGAAGTTCTAAAGGGGGATGTTTTGTGGTACTATTATGTCTAGGCATGAAAATTACTTTTCTATATTTTCAAAATCACGTCGCAAACATTAATACTTTTGTAATGTTTGAAAAACAATAAATTTTTTTAAACATTTCAAATTTTTCTCTATGCTTGTAGTATTTAAGACGGTATTACTTCCCAAATATGATAGTTCTAGGTCAACGGAAAATGACCTATAAATTTTGATTCCCTTGGGAGTGTTGAAATATACGGGTTTTGCGGCATAAACGGTATTATATATTTTTTTTCGTTAACTTAGAAGTTGGTTTTTTCACAGCTTCAAGGGATAGTAGATCTGAATATATGGTTTTAATTTCAACTCGACACCTCGACGCGTTCCCGAGATAAAGGGTTTTGACAGACAGACGGACGAATATTAAAGTGATCCTATAAAGGTTCCGTTTTTTCCTCCTGAGTTATGGAACCTTAAAAATGATCAACATCACAATTCTGATGGTTAAATTTATTTCATAATTTTTTTCATTATTAAACGCAAGAGAATTTTATTAAGCTATTATACCGTTTTTATTTTCAATTCGAGAAACATTTTGTTTCGTTGTTTGAAAATAATCACGCGCCTTTTCCTAAAAGCTTTCGGAAGTCTGGGGGCAAATTGTGTCCTATTTGAATATTTTCATCCGCTTAATAAGGAAATAAAGGTAATTCTCCCCCGGAAAGTCTTAGCAATGCAAAATTGGTTAAGCAACAAAGCATCCTTGGAAATGATAACAAACAAACAAGGAAAGTTTTCCGAGAAATTTCATTTTAATATATTCGCAAATATTAAAATATTATGATAATTTCTTTCGGATATTTAAAGTATTTTGGGCGTCTTGTTTACATATTTTACATCTACAGAAAATATCGTATACAGAGTGTCCTAATATTCCGTGGACATAGGCTTCATTCAGAATTTCAAAATGAGTTAGTGGTTTTAATTAATACTAGGTTATTAAAGGCAAGTACTACATATTAAAAAACCACCAGTAACTAACTTTTTTTGCTGCGCATATTCTTTATACAAATGGGACAAACAGACATCCCCACTTTGTGATTGCGGGGAAAACCAAACCATCAAACATATCTTGGAAGAATGTCCTATAACATTATAAAGCTGCCCACCAGAGGACTTCCTAATAGCAAGCCCAGAGTCGACAGTTTATTTAAATAGACTGGACATTTATTTCTAAATTATTAAAGTTTAGTTTATGTGTATCTTTTATATTGTTTTTACTGCTTTTTGTACTTTCCATACTATTTTTTATATAAAGTAGATCTACTGGATATGTGTCTTTAAAAAGAATTTTAAGAATGCAGACACAATATTGGAGTATAATCAATTTACAACAAGGCATATATAAATGAAAAGTAATACTCGATATATACCCATGGACTTGACGAGTATGTCACTACGAAATACACTCCGTCCACTCATTACATTGACAACTTGCAAATTTGTCGAGTTTTTATTGACGGGGCGCATTCTCTAATTTTTAAGAAGAAATATCAATTCAAATGATAGTAGATCGAGCTTCAAGAACAGTGCTGGCGTTATCGGTAAAATAGTGGTGTGATTTTATTAATTTTTTATTATTTTTCTTCTTAATTTTTTATTTTTTATAAAGATTATGTCAAAAATAAAACTGTTGTATGAAAAAAATAAAACTGATTTGATATTTTTTAATTTTTTGGGTGAGTAATGGTTTTTAAAATATTTATAGCACGCCCATGAATTGCTTGTTAAGAGAGAATTTTGTTTTTTCCCTTACCAATACTTCTGTAGCTACAGAGCGGATTGACGTACTGGATAATCTTGAACGAGTAAAAATAGCAATACGATAAGGTTATAATAATGAAATTGGTACAGGGAACTAACACAATATGTTTTACAGGTTGCAGCGTTTCCGGCATATTGAGAAAAAATACTCTTTGAAGAAAGCTTAACTGCTAAAGAGCATAATTAATGTATCTTGTTTAAATATTTTTCAGAATTTTTAATTTATCTGGCGCAGTCGGTTGGATTGCATAATTTATCTTGATTTGATTCACACTTTCTATTTTCTATTATAGATAGGGTTAATACAGTCTATTAGCTATTTTCCTGGAACAGTCGGTAGAATAAATAAGATAAAATAATATGTGATATAAACTTTAATAGCCAAAAGTTATTAATAAGGTACTAAAAAAGTAAAGAACTCATTACCATGTATTTCCGGCAATATTTAGAGAAAAAACAATATTAAAAACTTACGTATAATGATCGTAGCAAATTCCAGTAAACCCACAATCTGTCATAGTACAAGATGGACTTCTTGGACCCCCATTGGTTATTTCGTAGGTTATATTGAACCCATAAACGTCAAGGAACTTGTCTAGAACCCTCAGTTGAGAAGACTCAGCTGTTTGGAGTTTCAGCTCGATGACCAGGAAGCTCTGGTACGTTTGAACCCAGCGGGTACGTACCACGTTGGTCTCGTTGACTTTGTGGATGATTTTCGGGTTGATTTTGTAGTCGCTGCCGTAGAGTTGGTACTCGGTGAAGGTTAAACCTAGAAGAAAAAAACGAAAAATAAAATAAAAAAGAAAAAATAAGTATTTTCACAGTTACAGATTTTTGTTAGATATCATTTTTAAACAAAGTATCAGTGTACTGAGTGATAAATAAATAAGCAGGAAACAATTATTAGCCTTGTTCTAACAGGGAAATATCCAACCGGTTGTCAATTTGTGTCTGCGGAATTGGTTTCTGGAATGTACTTCTGCGAACGACCAATCGAAAATGTCAACGAATCAAGTGAATCACGCTCGAAATCACGTGACAATTAACCTGTGACAGTTCTGTTCTCTATTTATGTATTTTATGAATTAATTGGCAAATAAAATAAATATATATTTTGTGCTATCATAATTTTTTTGTCTTATTTAATTTGTTGTTGTGTTATTAAATGTTCTTATGTATAATAAAATTGTTCCTAGTATAGAAGGGTTCAAATATAGCACATATAAGTTCTTAATATTTTAAGAAATATAAAATGTTCTTGCCATATTTCATGGTTTTATTCATGTTGATGTTGAACAATGTTTTGTTTTTGCTCCAGCGTCAATTCGTAATCATAAAGGCGCATGACCAAAAATTGACCAGTGACTATTCTGACGATTAGAAATCAGTTGGAAACTTCAAATTTTTGTTCGGAAAACGCCGGATTTTTGGTTAGGAATCACGTATGTTGCTTTCCCGAACGCTTTATAATTCAGGCGCATGCGCCGGACTGTTGTAAGCTATTTCTGACTGCCGTACGAAGTTAATAATATATTTTTGTACTTTTGTGCTTAGGCGTAAAAGTGCTTTATTTTTATGCCTAGGAGTTAATAGTTATTTGTGGAACTAGTGCAAAAATAACATATTTGTTGCACGACGCATGAGTTTTGCAGCAATCTGCAATCATGCTACGAATGCAACAAATATGCTTTTTGCACATGTTGCACACAACATTTTTTCTACGATGTAATTGAAATTCTTATTTAAATATATCTTAAAAAGTTTTTATAATTATTCATAGAATAATATTACCACTAACAATAACATTCACTATGATAGTTGATGGACAAATTTTATTTCCAAGTAGTTTTTTGAATTTTATTTTGATTTCTGCTCGTGGAGGTCTCGAGTTCTTGTTCTCCGCTTAAAACTCTTTCCCTGAATATTGCTGCGAGGTGGCCAGTACTGCTACTTGGTTTATCTTCTAGAATTTGACAGATTTTTATAAAAATTTACAATTTTTTTCTTTTCAGTTAAAGTCGTCTTTTATAATGTCAAGACGTTTTTTACACTACTGCAAAAAATAAGTAACTTTTTACACTAGTGTAAAAAATTTGACTTTTAATACAGACAATGTAAATAATAGCTACTTTTTGCACGATCGTAGAAAAAATGATTTCTTTATGTTGTCAATCACGTCGCAAAAACTATTTCTTTTGTAAGATTTAAAAGAAAACATTATATCACCCTTATTTTTTATTATTAGTTAAATGAAAAACAATAAATAAAGAAAAATACAAGAATAAAAAAACTACTGGTACATAAATTATCTCTTCCGCTAATGGCTTTCTTAGTATTTATATCTAATACGGGAATTATAACGAGCATGTATAGATAAGATAACGAAGTTTGCTCAAAGGGATTCATTATAGTTGACAAACGCGCGGCTCATAAACATCAACTTTATCCAGTTCCTTTTCACGTCTGACGCGTCTCCGGTATCTTATAATTGGTTTATCAGTAACTTTCCTAATTAATTCCTCTGCGTATACACCGAAAATTCTGACGATAGCAACGACGAAGGCTCTTGTTTAACGGATCATTCGTATTTGCTCTATATTTTTATTATTAAATTTATACATAGATATTTTTATTTCTTACTGAATTTAGTATATTTTATTTACAACCACATAATGTAATACTGACATTACTGACTTTTAAAAAAATTGAAATTGTCAAATTATCTACATTTCTTCCCTCTTCCCATTTCCCTCACTCGGTTTTTCTTATTTCTCGCCTCATTTAATTAAGCAAAATATTCTTGTAATATCTTTATTACATACTTATCTAACATCAACAAAAATAAACAAGAAGATTAACAATAATAATTGAAGATTTTAATACATTTATTTGTTGAAATTAATGGTCAAATTTGACTTATTATACGCGTTAATCGATATTGTCGTCCATAAGGGGCCGTCCTGATGATGTGTTTCACTCATTGAGGTTTCACTGCTGCAAAAACTAAATTCCTGACTTGTGCCAGGTCTTCTAATGTCAACGAAAGAAGGTAAAGAGTTTGAATTGCTACAGGAAGACGATGGCAACGATGTCTTTGAAGATATCATATTTGCAGTTTTAGTTTGGCTGGCTACAGATGCATCCACATAACCCTCAGCCACAGCACTTGATTTCCATCCCCCTAGATGCTTCAGCTGCGCTATTTACCAACAACGTAGCCGCTGTTTGTCTAAAAGCGTGACCTGTGTAGGTTTTCGCATTGGGAAGTTTCAAAAAGCTAGCAATTTTGTACGGAAATTTAGATATAGAATTGTATCCAAAGGGTTGATTTTGAGCTTTTCCTAATCGATATTGAACAAAAAATCTCTCATTTTCAATATCTTTTCGTAACTGTATAAATTCTTTCACAATTTCTATCCAACTTGTGTTAGTTATCATAAATTATCTGGTCATATAAGTTTTTGTATCGGGAATTTCTATGCAAATTTTGTTTTCTAAAATATCAATATGCGTAGTTTTCATCTTCAGTAGCTCATCACTTCGACATGCCCCAGACACACCTACTATAAGCGCAACCTAAAACAATAAAAATAAATATTTAAAAACAGAAAAAGAAAACATTTAAAAAAAAAACCTTACTTTAATAGGAAGGAATTCTTGAGGTGCTTTTGTGAGAAAATCCTCTAAGTTTTGCCTGGTAAAATGCTAGACTTCTTTGGCTTAAAACCTACATTCTGTCGTTTTAAAAAAGCGACGAGTTTGTGATATTTTGATATGTCAGTCTTTTCCCTTAAGTCTAGCATTGTTTGTATATATGCTGTACGTAGCCCTAAGAGTAGATGACTTTTTCTGCTTTGCCATGTCGTTAAAATATGCCATCAAGACTGTCTCCGAAGCAATATTCTTAGCATTTCTTTCGGCACACCATTTTTCGTACACTTTCAATGCTATTTCATGTCGCCCCTTACTTTTCTCTGGAGGTAAACTAGCTTCTGCTCTTTTTGCAACTTCTCTAAGTTCTGGTGGAGTACCAATATTAAAGTAGTCTTCATTATCAGAACTTTCCGACAACACTCTGGCTTTCTATGTTACATAAATTCGAAAAAGCGAACGAGAAATTCAACTGTTACTTAGTTGTTTGTTTTGCTGTTGAAGGTTTGCGCCATAACAACCACTGGTACCGGTAACTATAGATATGGAAATGCCAAAACAGTAAACGACAAATTTTCGCATATTTTTTTTTTTTTAAATAAAATACTGTCTCTATTTTTTAATTAATGATGTGGTTGTAAATAAAATAATATACAAACAAAGTTTTCATTATTGAAACACACAGTTTTCAGTAATGAAACACTTCTCTCCTCGCTATCTAATATACTATTGTCCCATTCGAAAACGACATAATTTTTGTATTTATTAATCTTCTGGTGTATTTGTATTAACGCTGCTCGTTGGAATGTATTACATATTATTTGTTGCCAGGTAAATAATAAATTATTAATGATCTGTTAATAAATTGACGGTTTTTCAGACGAGTTCAGTTTTTTTTTGTAAAAAAATGCCTTCAGCACGAATAGCGATGATTTAAAAACTCAACTTTTTAACACATAACCCGCTATAACTTAACCATTTTAGAACAAGCCAAAAATTTTATGGAGAATGCATTTTTCTCAAAATGTCTATAATAAAAAAGTTTTTCCTCTAGTAAAAAAAATCCGGGGACATACTGTATATTCCGTTTTTAAAAGATCATTATTAGCTGCACTAAATTCTTTATTAAATTTTTCTCAGACAATGTCTAGAATTTCTTAATTTTCCAACGAAAAATTTACGAAAATACCTACCGTTTACTTTAAATTTTCTTCTCTCTGTTTCACTCCGAGTTTTTCTCAATTTCGCGGTCTATAAAAACATATTTTATTAATTATTCCCCAATTATGTTCAGAGAAATGAAAAAACAACAAACTTTCTTACGGCTCGAGGGAAAATAATAAGTAAACAAAATAATTACAAGGCAAACAATACCTGGAAAATAAAAAAATGTGGTTTATTAAATTACTGTTTGTTTTCATAACAAATTTTCAAAGAACATAACGTCGTTCTTAAATCGATACCTTGTTTTTTTAGATGTTATTTTTTGCTGTTTTCAATCTAAACTTTGCAACCTATAGCAACCAAAAGTGGGCAAACGTTGTAGGGAGAAGCTATTTGTACACATTAGATGACCCTATCTCTATTGTTTACACTAGTTTGCTCTTCAGATTGAGATGGATCCAGCTGGACCTTACACATGGCCCGGACGTCTTCTCTCAATTGTTTGTCTTTCTCTAAGTATTTTACTTGCGTAACTAGTTATAACCGAGCTAAATTTCAATAAAATATCTAGAATAAGTTAAACAAACATATTATGTATACAAGTCCGGCAATAGTGCTTCGGGCATCTGTAGCTCCTAGAACAAAAAAATTGGAAATTTTGTTTAAGTATAAACATTAAGTATGTACAAGGATGTATTTCAGGAAAATATTTTAACTTCTATAGGATGGCTCAAAAAAGTGTGAGTGGATCGGGACGATTTTTTTTAAATAATGGAACACCCTGTATATTATTGCATTTTTGGCTTCCGTTCAGATCACTTTACATAATCCTAAGATATTAATAAATATCGATAGTATCAGAGATATTAATAGATAAATAAAAAAAATATATATTTTTTAACCTTCATTAAAAAAATATTCCAAATATAAGAACTGTCCTGAAAACAAAACTAT